GTTGCCTTTCTAAATTAAATATCCAATGTATCGTTTTTCCACTGTTTCCTCTCGCTGCTTAGATGATATGATTACTAGTCATGTCAAAATAATTACAAGCAGCAAATGTTGAATGCAAAGATGCAACACAGATTGTCATTTGTAAAATAAAAGAGCTGAGTGGCCTTTGTTCTTGGTAACTTTCATTCGAAGCAAGTGCTTGCTTTTACGTATATGATAATTTGTTGCAGGTGGTGAGCAAAAAGCAAACAATTCTTTCGCATGTGTATGATATGATGCTTAGAACAGGTTTCTGCAGATGGATGTACTAATGGAAGTTTGAAAATGATGGAAAAATGGGTCAATGGCATGGACAAAGAAACTGTTTCCATTATGAAAAGGAACTCATATATCATTTCTTGCCATAGTATTATGATAAGAGATAGGACAAGCCAAACTACACAGCCCCAACACCATCATAAATTGGAAAAAGAAAGAAAACCAAATTAATTCCCACCAACACCAAACACTTGGATAATTTTACATTGTCTTCAAGAAATGTTACCCTGTTCGTATTCTATCCAACCGGTCAACACTTTTCCGTGCTCTTTCCAGCTGGTGATCAATACTTTTCCGGGACTTCTCATGGCAATCCACACTCCTTCGAGACCTTTCCAATTGATCAAACGTTATTCTTAATTTTTCTAGCTTATCCATGTTGTTGGACTGGTTTTTCAGCTTTTCGGGCCTGTCAGTGCTTTTCCTTGGTTTCTCTCTTCTATCAGTGCTCTTCCTTGACACCTCAAAAATGTCGGTACTTTTCCGAGACTGCTCAAATTGGTCTGTACTTCTCCTGGAATTGTACCTCTGTGAAGGAGATTTCTCAACGGTTGAGATGAACTTCTTGAGATGCCTGATATACTCAGGATGATGCTCTAGATCACAGTGGTTCCCTCCTTTCACCCAAAGCGGTTCATACTTCTCTTTACACAGTTCCCAGAGTTGCTTGCCATGGGAGCAATCAACAACTTCGTCTGATGTTCCCTGTATATTAAAATAAATGACTTTAAAATAGGATGATGTACCATTAGCAGTCTAGAAATTATCTTCAGTTAACTTCCGGGCAATTTGCAATCATCTTGTAGACAGTAAACATATGCTAATAAATGAAATAATGAAGAATTAAAATGCCTCATAATAATTGCTTAGAACCTGAAGAAAACGCAACAATAGTAATAGTTTCTGCAGTGCTTTAGCCTTTCGACATTTTTCTTTAAATCAATAGAGTGCAGTATTGGCTCAGAAAACGAAGGTTAAGACAGTAAGCAAAAGGGATTGCAAGTATTCTATTGACCCTGAGAATCATAAAATAGTTGACTATCCGCAGCAAAGACTTAAATAGACTTCCAAGAAAAAATAAAACGCCAAAGTGCTTGAGGAAGTGACCTGAAAAGGTTTAGCATTGTCAATGTTCATCTCAATTTTCAAAATGGAAGATAATGCATTTTGAATTTCGTTTTCACCACACTTAATAAGATGGTAACGTTTTGGAAGCAACTGCATTTAGTCTTTAAGTGGTCTGTCAGGACAGGCAATTAGTTACACAGTCACAACATGACAGCTAACTTTTTTTGTTTGCATTTGAGAAATCCTCATGGACCTTGTCTAGTGCAGATCTAGATTTGCCAGACTTGACTGAAAGAATTGGACCTTTAACAACCAAACCCTAAAGAGGGACACACCAGTGGTAATACTAAAGATAAAGCACAGTATAACTCTATTAATAACTTCATTTAACTATTTTAGACTTCATCTTAATAATAATCAATGTTCAAGATTGTGGACAGTTTACAGCAAGAGCATTTGAATGTTTTATTTCTTTGGGGTGGAGGGGGGGCAACGAGGCAGCACTACAAATTCAACCTTTTGGAAGATGACAGAGATCAAGAACCAGTAATGTAGTATCTTCCTCATCATTCAATATTCATATTTTCACTTTTCAACCTAAACAAGACTTCACAATTTTGCACTAGATTCCATTGCAAAGAGAAGAGCTTAAAAAGGGAATGAAACGAATTATTAAACAATAAAATGACTCAAGAATCCACAACAATATGGATGTGATGTCTATATGGCAGATATTTACATGCAAAATACATTTAATCATAACAACAAAGTGCAGCAGAGTCTTAGGGAAGAACACACTTACATGAATGATAAGAACTGGACAATTGACCAGTGGAATTTTATCGATGTTCTGCATTCAAATTAAACAGAAAAACTCAGTTACATTCAAAATATTCATAGATAAATCCTGCTATTATAATAAATTAAAAAGAAAACGGATAAAGGAAGACATTACCTTATATATGTCAAACCAATATGTTTTCTTTACAGGATACATGACTCTTAAGCCCGAGAGTATGGGACTGTGCAGTACAACAGCTCTTAACTGAGGCAGCCTAGCAGCAAGATCCAAAGTTGGGCCACTTCCAACAGACTGTCCATAAAGTATGATATCTTCTTGTTTTGTACCATAAATTTCTTCAAGACATTTATATGCAGCTTCAATGTCTGCATATGTATTCTGCTCACTTGGCTGTAACGAAACAAATGGAATTAGAAAATTTTTCCACCTCCTAGCATCACTAAATCCATTTAGAACAAAGAATTCTTTTAAACCTATCAAAGATTTTCATATATTGAATGTACCTTTCCAGATGATTGCCCATATCCTGAATAGTCATACCTGCACGTAATCACAGAAGCTGTTAATATAGCTGCAACTTAATCACTTAACAGAAAGGTTAGATGTACATTATACTGCTCCTTCCTAACAACCAGAACAGCAATCATACATATGCAGAGGCAATTGACAAACAACACGACAGTTCTGACTAAGGCATGGAGTTACACATCAGCCCTAGAGAATACCACTTGCTGCTACTGCTAAAAGCAAAACAAAAGAATCTTAAGCTACTTATGCTACAGTCCCAAAGCAACTGATCAAGCTATACCAGCAAACACTAATCAGTATCATCTGAAATAGCACTGATACTGAACTGGAAGTCAAGAATATAAATACCATATGACTAAGATTTGAAAAAAATAAAAATAAAAAGTGCCAAAGCAGATAGGCTAGAGACCTCAAAACTATAACTGATTGATCCCTCTACTGAGCAGTTATCTATAATCTGAGAATTGCAACCTTCAAAATCAACAATCATAAATAAAGTATTACGTAGAATTCCATAATTTCCAGTTAAATCAGACAGCTAAGATTGCAATAGCACTTGCCATATATTCATCTCCAGCCAACTGAAAACTGATTAAAATTCAATAATGTTTATACTGAAAAAAGAGTCCTCATTGCGAATCAAAGCCAAAGAAAGCATCAGAAATCAGAGCAATCGAACATAGTTAAACAAGCCAAAAACCAGGTGCAAAACTAAAAAACTAACAGTATCAAAATCAAAAACAAAATTACCAAAGACCCAGATGCCAAAACTAAGAAAAGTGCAACAAGCGACCATAAAAAAGGCCAAACACTTGCAGAGAAAGAAACAGAAGAGAAGGGGAGGAAAACAGAGTACCCCATTAGATTGACCCGCAAGTGGATGCTCAATTCAATGAAGAGCTCATACATCTGACCCAGATCGGCAGCGTTCCCGTGAGAGTAAAGAATAGTGGAAGTGGCCATGGGATGCCTGATGTAAAGAGCCACAATCTCTGTACCCCGGCGCGTGGGCAGTTTCAGTACCTCAACGTTTTCTCTGTGAGGGAAGGGACTGAGAAGCAAAAGACCGGTGAGGTCATCCGTAACGAGCTTATAGGAAGGTGGGTTTGGTGGAAAGAAGGCAAATTTTGCCGCCATTGAAGACGTAACCCCTCCCATCCCAGTCTTTCCCCTTGGACGTTGCCCTGTGTTTCCCGTTCCCCTACTCTTCTCGAGCTAGAAAAGACAACAGTATAGTTCTGGTTAGGAGGAGTCAGAATTGATGCAGATGGACATTCTTTTGCTTTCTCCAGAAGATTAAAACTTTTCAGAAAGAGAGAAAGTGACAGACAGAAGGAGAGGATTTTGTTCTTCAAGTGGCTATTAAGTACTTAAGAAATAATAATGAGAGAGAAAAAGATAATTTTGGTTTGGTTGCAAACTCTGTTTTTTTTTTAAATTTTTTTGGTGTTGTACTTGTACCTGTGGTGTGTATATTAGTATTATTCTTTATTCTTTGTAGGGTCAAACCGTTAAAGTGAAATGGACAGAAAATTTTGATGAAAATTTGAAATGGGCACTAATTTATACCCAACAGAACCCCATGTGGAAAAAGTTGATTCAATTAATCACCTTTATTCAATTAATCAAATGGGGGCAGAGTTTTTGATAAGGAAATTATCCATAATTAATTTAGATGCTTTTATTTATGATTATATATAATAGTACCAATAAATTTTTTTATTGAATTAGTATCTATTAGTATAAAAATTTTAATTTAAAGTTAAAATTAGGATTTAAACTTTTGTAACCTTAAGTAACAAATTTATGGTGTAAAAAAAATGGTAAATTACAATCAGCTCATTAAATAAGTGTTTTTAAAAATCTAAAATTTTAAATTAGAAGTTTTAAAATCTTTGATGCATGTAAAAAAGGATTTAAAAAAAAAAGAAAGGATCAATTACTAAAGAAAAGTAAAAATTAAAATATCCTAAAATTTTAAATATTAAGACTCTTTATAAAATTATTTAAATATTTTAATGAATTATTTTTATATTTTGATTTATTAAAAATATTTAAATAATTTTATAAAAAAATCATAACATTTTAATTATTAAAACCTTTTGATTTTCTATAACCCTAATTTCTATTGTATAATCCACCCAAAAAAGTATAATGTCATGATCTCAAATTGGCTCTACATGTAAGTAGAGGACACGTTATCTATCCATCAACATGATTAAATCTCACTAAGATGTATTTCTGTGGAATTTCTTTTGCTAATTAGTGGAAAAAAGTAAGAATACTATACTTTTCAAATAAAAAAAGAAAAAAGAATACTATAATTTTCTTGCCCCAGAATGGCATCAATTGAGGATCCAATGTAGGTATAAAAATGGCACTTTCTGGCTGCCGATTGTGGATTAACAAGCTCCAAACGGATGTGTGATTTAAAGAGGTGGAAGCATGGAAACTGGGAACTAAAAATGTTGAACCAATTCGGCAATTCGGTTTTGAAGAATTAATTTCAGGAAATTATACAGTATACCCTTTTGTTTGTATGAACAAGTCTTGAGCACTGTTGGTTTTTGAGAAGACAAGATCCATGTTTGATCGAGAAACTTCACTGGCCAGTCCTTGGTAGAAATCCGGTTGAGAGTGATGGAAGAATATGAGAAATTGGGACCAGTCCTTCAGAAATTAACCATACTAATGCACACAACAAACCCAACTAAGCTACTTTACATTCTAATTAATAATTTTTTTTTATTAAAAATTAGACATTTGCTATTCTAAATGAGAATCTTGAACTTGAAACCTCTAGGAATCTCACCATTGATGATAATTCAAGCAAAGTTGTGGTTTGAAATTTGAATGCATGGGAAGGGTGGGGCAGAAAGATGTCTCAAGCACCAAAGGAACAGATAACTTTTCAACCCACTATTGGGAAAAGATCTGGTGGGCTTTTGGCTAAGTGGGAATGGAAAATCAAGCAAGTAAAAGCTTTTAGAAATAAATAGGCATGCAAGTAGGAAAGTTCACATGGTCTCAACCACTTTTCTGCTTAATGGAGAGCATAATTGTATACTGATGGGAAATTATTTGTAACATACTTAGCAAATAATCTTTCACCTACCTTCCCAAAATTCTCTCTATTCAATTCACTTCAATCCCTATGTATCTTGAAACCATCACCAAATGGCCTAGCACATGCAGCATTCTAATCACCCTAAAAGGATGGATCCCAAACATGACTCCCAAGGAGAAGAATGATGATGTTGGAGACTGAAGAAGGAAAAAGGAACAGAAGACAGGAGTGAAATTTTCAAGCACTTTAACCCAATGTTAAAGGGTACATCTTCAAGTTTACTATGGAGAGATAATATTGAGAAGAAATAGGCAAAGAAATGTAAGGATGATATGATATCATAGTTATCATGATCAAGGACCATAAAATCTCTTGTTTTTCAAAGATCCCAAGAAAGTATTGGGGGAAAAAAGTTTACACAAGAAATCTTCAAAATCAGACTACTCATGCTAGCTATGCTCATTTGGTCAAAACAAATCACGTTTAGTTTTCTTACTTCTGGTCTACAAATTCTGTGGGTGGGACCAAGATAATGGGGCTCGTCTTGCGGAGATGACAGTCACAAACAGCCAGCAGGGCAAATACTCAACTTATGGACCCAAACCAAATTTCAGGGAGAGGTCACAGAGGCAGGCCCCTTGTGTTATGAAGGAGAAAATGACTTGATAACAACTGATATAATCAAAATGATAAAGAAATATGAAGGCAGTGGGAGGAATAAAGGGATGTTTCTGTGGCAATGGTCTCCATGTTTCAAGGGACAAAAAAAGAGAGAAAAAAAGGTGGTGGTGGGACGCTGGCTCTCACTCACCTTATTAAGTCCGTCTTCTTGTGATTTAAAATAATATGGTCCCCTCTCTAAGGGAGAGAGATTTTGAAAGAAATAATGACACTTGTTAACAACTCAATTTTTCTATGATTCCCGTAGGATCTATTACGGCAATGCTGGTTAGAAAACAAAGTTACTCTCTTAACTTCATCAACCACAGTCAAAGGAAAACTACTACATATCAGCATATAAATAAAAATATCTATGCTTCAAGAACAAACACATCATGAAAGTCAAGCCAATGGTAAAAATGATAGACAAGGAAGATGCTATATATGTTAATTTGAACATAAGATAGAAGGGTACAAATTCTCAGACTTCTTTACTGTGCAATAGTTACCTGATTGGAGCTTTTACTATCGACCAATTAATTTGAGTAAAAAGAGTTTGGTTTCTTTTAAATAAGATATCGAGTTTAAAATTTGTAAATAAAAAAATAGGTAGTAAGAGAGTCTTGGTAAATTTTGATACGATTCAATTTCAAATTAGTCAAATTCAATATAATTGTAAAATAAAAAGAGGTTAATACCAAAAGCTGATAATTATGATTAAGAAAGATATTTAAATATAGGATCCACAACGAATGGATCCTTTTGGGCCTAACCGATGGTATGGGCCGGGTTTGTTTTTTGGTAGAAATAATAGGTCACCAATTTCAACGGAAGTGACGAAACCGAGCATTTCAATTCGGGTCTAAAACTAAAACCGGCCCAACCCGTCCCCTGCTCGTACATAATAAACACGACACTCTCCATTCTCCATCTTCTCCACCAACAGACTAAAACCAGAATTAATTTCGATTCACTCATGGGAAGCAGTGAGTGCGTTGAAGAAGACATGGATTACGATTATCTGCTCAACTACATTATCATCGGAGACTACGGTAGCTGCTTCCTGTGGAAGCTGAATCATACATATTATCTATAATTTAGGTTTTTTCTTTTTTTTTTTTTTTGGCGGGTAATTTTTTTGATCGGGGTTGAACTTGAGTTGAGCAGGCGTAGGGAAATCGTCGTTCCTTTGGCGATTAAAGGGAAAAAGAGTTTGGAGGAGACGCGTGCCCGATCTCCGGTTGGATTGCAGTTACTTTCATCTTCACTATCTCGACGTTGAGGGCAGACCCTTCAAGTTCCGCATTGGGAATTTTGTAAGTCTTCTTTGCTATATCTTCAACTTACGGAGCAGAAATTGCCTTTTTTTTTTCCTTCTTCTTCTTCTTCTCCTCCTTTTGATAATAATTTCAAAATTTTCAGTCTCTACTGCAAATCTCCTTTTGACTCTAAATTTCAGTGTCAGGTAGAATTTATCAAATTCCTAAGATTGTTTTGTATAATTTCAGAATTTCCTACTGCACCCTGTTTGTTTCCTAAAAATTCCTGTTCTCTCGTGGAACAATTTGTATATTTGTGTTTGTGTAACTTGTATGCACTATTTTTTATTTAATTTACTTAAAAAACTTCAAAAATTGATTTCTATTTTAATAATAATGTCACGTGTATATTTTTATTTGACTAATTAATAAAAGTAATGTCAATATTTATATATTTTATCAGAAAAAAAAAAAGTTAATATTTATATATTTTATATAAATTAATTATAAAAAATATAATAAAAATACACAGTTTAAAAAAATTATATTTTTATGTTAAGTTGGAAAAGATAGCCGTAAGCTTATATGGAATTACAACTTCTCTTGTATAAGCATACTTAAATTAGTCAAGCTGGTTTCATGGACAATCTTTTCTAAAACTTCTCTTGGTCAAAATATGAGACCTCCTATTTGGGAGCTTAAGCTCTTTGCCGTGATGACATCTCCCCTGAAGGGGTGGGGTGGGGTGGGGCGGGGCGGGGCATGCCTGACTGTTTCACCGTCGTTGTAGTTTGGTTAGCTGCTTTCTACTTTTGGAGTTTTCTCCCCATCACAAATTTTAGCAGTGTTTTCCTCCTGCTAAGAGACGTGGGGTTTACTTACAAAACTGATTTGGCTTTTAGCACCTAGCTAGTATGGCCATTCGATTCTACTGGTTGTTTTAATTCTCTTAGTTGAAATGCAAACTTGTTTGGTCTTTTATCAGGAGAGAGACATTTAACCGCATACCAAGCTTGGTGGAGGAGGCTCGGCAATTTTCAAAGCCCGACATTACAATCATGCTCGTGGGAAACAAGTGTGACCTTGAGAACGAGAGGGCTGTCAGCAAGGAAGACGGTGAACAATTTGCAGAGGCAAAATGGTCTGGTCTCTTATTTGTGGAGGTGTCTGTTGCAACAACTCGAATGTTGAGGAGGTGGGTAACCAACCACCCCCCCTCCCACCCCGCACACAACACACACAAATCTTGATTTGGGAATGGTATTTTATTAGTTCATATTAATTATGACTCAATAGTATTCTTAAAGGCCTTCATGAGGACTGCTGCAATCGTCCTTCAGAATCTTCATGCCAGTATCATTGATGCACAAAATTTGTTGTTGTCACACTTAACCAAGTATGGACATTATTTGTTTGAAATGATTGCAGTAATCTAGCATCATCAAGGCAGGAGGGGAAATTATTTGCAACTCAATGTTAAAGAGTACATCTTCAAGTTTACTATGGAGAGAATATTGAGAAGAGAGATGTGTAAAGAAAAGTGAGGATGATATGATATTTGGAATGAGGTGGATGGAAGAAGCTTCCCCTTTTTTTTTTT